ACAGCCAAATCAAGCCTGTCATTTCATCCATCCCTAGCTACATACATTATGAGCAGCCATGACTATCATTTATTTTAACTTTTTATTATGGAAAACTTTAAACGTATATAAAGTAAATAATAGTATAATGAACTCCTATGTGCCCATCACCCAGTTTCAACAATTATCACCATTCTCTGATCTTTGTATTATCTATATATTCACCCATTTTTCCACTTGTTCTCAATTATAATTTTTTTAGGTAAAGTTTACATGAATTCAACACAAATTCTAGCTGTATAATTCTGACAATGGATACACCTATACCTCAGTGATTTTCCAACTCCCCAGAAAGTCCCCTGTGTAGCGTTCCACTTAAGCCTTCTGTATCAGTCAGCGTCCAGCCAGGAGACAGAAATCACACCAGTAAGTTGAGTAAAGAACATTTATTCTATTCTAATAACTAAATTCTAATAATTTAATTCAAAGTTATTCATATTAACAGACAATGGTTTTAAATTAATAATAACTAACATGTTAAAGAAAACAGGAAATGATAGACAAAATGGATGAAAAGATACAGAATATTAATTGGAATGTATAAAAAAATCAAATGGACATTCTAGAACTGAAAAATATACCATCTGAAATTAAGAACTCATTTGATTCATTTGATGTATTTAACAGTAGACGAGACTCAGCATAAAACAGAATCTGTAAACGTGAAGACAATTAATGAAAAATATCCAAACTTAAGCACAGAAGAGAGAATGGGGAAAAAACAGAATAGAGCCAAAGAGGAATAGGCATGTAGGACTAAGTTAAAAAAAAAAAAAAAGCTAACATATTTATGATCGGAGTCCCAGAGGGAGAAGAGAGAATTAGATAGAAGCAGAATTTGAAAATGGCCAAGAATTTTCTAAAACAGATGAAAATATCAATCAACAGATTCAGTAAGCCCAGTGAATCAAGCAGGATTGGAAAAAAAAAAAATCAGCCTCTATTCAAAAGTTGGCAGGGAAATGATATCCTAAGTAGACAGCCAGGTTTTATTCAGGACAGGTAGGTGGTGTTCAGAAGAGGTTAATATACATAGAAATCTGTGATGAAAGATGATGTATTTCAAAACTTGCAGAAGATGGATTTTAGAAGAGTGCTAGGCATGGAAAATTGGGTCAGGTGAATAGATGTACAGGGACATGAGACACAATGGGATTCAGCCTGATAGTCTCTTAGGGGAAGCAGGTAACCAGGTTAAGGTGGGTGTTTGAGGCTCTCTTGCACCTGCTAGTAACGTGGTAGCAGAGGTGAGTGAAGGACTCCTCGGAAGAATATCGTCTTAGGCAATGGGGAGCACTTTTAAGGGCCTCTTTTCTCTAGGGGCAAAACAGTATGGTAGGCTCGTGAGGAAGAGGTGCTCTCATCCAGAGGAGGAACCAGGGATGCCTCTTGCAGCCATGTAGTGTTATGGCAAGTGGAGAGCAAGGCAAGGAGAGGTTAGTACTTCCCTGATGTTCCCTGACCCTCAACTTGAGTCCAGTTGTGCTACCTGCTCCATGGCCAACTTGGACTGAGTCATCACTCAGAATGGCTTTATCCTGAATCTTTTTTTTTTTTTTTTTTTTGCAGTACGCGGGCCTCTCACTGTTGTGGCCTCTCCCGTTGCGGAGCACAGGCTCCGGACGTGCAGGCTCAGCGGCCATGGCTCACGGGCCCAGCCGCCCCGCGGCATGTGGGATCTTCCCGGACCGGGGCACGAACCCGAGTCCCCTGCATTGGCAGGTGGACTCTCAACCACTGCGCCACCAGGGAAGCCCTATCCTGAATCTTAAATAGCCCTCTGTATCTGCAGGTTCTTCATTCATGGATTCAACCAAATGTGGATCCAAAATGTTTGGGAAAAAATTCCATTGTTTCAAAAAGCAAAAGAGTTCACTATGTGCAGGCAACTATTTACATAGCATTTACATTGGATTAGGTACTATAAGTGATCTAGAGATGATTTATTTAGAGGTGATTTATACAGCAGGATGTATGTATGCAAATACTATGCCATTTTATATAAGGTCCTTGAGCATGCACAGATTTTAGTATCCATGGTGGGTCCTGGAACCAACCCTGAGGATACTGAGGGACAACAGTATTAGGTCCTTTGAGGAGGCTCTTTCTCCCCAGGATAGTTTCACCCCTCCAGGCCTACTTGTATTGATATGATAGTACAAAAATGGTTTCAAAGAGGGAAAATTGATGATCCACAGATTTTTCAGGTTCTCCCCTTGGAAACTAAGTCCATTTCCTTTTTATAAGTTTGGAGTTTTGCACTATGAAGTCATGTGTTATTTTTATTTATTTATGGCTGTGTTGGGTCTTCATTTCTGTGCGAGGGCTTTCTCTAGTTGTGGCAAGCGGGGGCCACTCTTCATCGCGGTGCACGGGCCTCTCACTATTGCGGCCTCTCTTACTGCGGAGCACAGGCTCCAGACGCGCAGGCTCAGTAGTTGTGGCTCACGGGCCTAGCTTCTCCGCGGCATGTGGGATCGTCCCAGACCAGGGCTCGAACCCTTGTTCCCTGCATTTGCAGGCAGATTCTCAACCACTGCGCCACCAGAGAAGTCCTGAAGTCATGTGTTAATATATCTGACCAAGAAAAAGTTCTAATAAAACAAAAAGATGAAGATACTAGAGAGAACTATACAAACATTCCACTTTCTGACCCCCATCTCCTATTTTCCAGCTCCTTCACTCAATTACTCCCTCTACCCCTCTTCATTCCCCTCTTATTCTCATTTCCCACCCAGTCCTTAGAGTCCTTGGCCATCACTTCAGGCACTCTCAAAAGCTTAGCTCCCTCACCATTGCCCTTCCATTATATATGTCTGGCAAACTCCTATCCTGGATGAAGTCAACTTTTATTTGTGTACCTGCATCTGATTTACTGAGTGCTGCTTGAGAAAATCATATAACTGGGAAGATGAGTACCATGCTCTCTACACATTTTCAAATATAATTGTACAGAGGTAAAACATGAATGAAACTCATCATAAAAAAATTAAAACAATACAGACATATATGGAGTAAAAGATGAGAGTTCTCTCCTAAAACCATTCCCCAAAACATTGCTGTTAAGCCTGCCATATGTTCTATGCATGTATTATTGTCTTAAATATAGATATATATATGTATGTACATATATATACATATAAACACACATATATACACATATACATACATATATGAAATCAGATAGGTAGCTAGATTGTAGTAGACACTTTGTTAAGCAATTTGCATTTTTTTCTTTTCTTTTTAAAATTTAATATGTCACGGAGAGCCCTTCTTCTCAAAAGGTACAGGTATATTTTATTCTACATAATATCCCATTCCCTTACTTACACTTAGGTAATAACCATTTTCACTATGAACAATGTTATAATGAATATACTTGTACATCCTTCTGGTTACATGTGCAAATATGTCTCTAAAGTGGATCCTCAGAAGTGGAAATGCTTGGTCAAAGGGTATTCATATTTAACATTTTAATACATATTTCTAAATTACCATCCAAAAAGGAGGAGCTATACCGAATTGCCCTCCCACCTGCGTAGGAGAGTTACTACCCCAAGCTGGGCTCTCAACACTGCCTGGCTCTCCTTCTCTTTCCTTCCCTAGACTTCTAACTCTACCTCCTTCTCCGCGTAACTTAACTACTCAAAACCTCTTCTGCACCCTCCATCCCCACCCAAACATACTCATTCTTGGCAAATATTTCACCTAATATTAGCAGAGAAAATGGAAGTCACCAGAAGAGAACTTTCTTGACTTCCTAGCCCCAAACCTACAAAACCTATCCACCTCTTGTCCTCCTTCCCTCCTGTTACAAGGCAGGTGGGTGAGGACAGTCCTTCCTCCCGTGTTTAAGTCCTGGTTGTGCAGTCCTTCCCTTCACAAAGGGCTAACTACCTTCCATCTAAAGGTCTCAGCTTCCACTCCTCAGCCAACTTAAATCTATGTTCTGCCTTCATCGCTCTACTGAAAACCCAAACTCACCTTGGGTCAAATCCATTACACCTTTTCAGGTCCTTATCTTAGGTGACACTATTGCCCACTCTCTTCATAAAACCACACTCTCCTGCTTTTCCTTCTCTGTCTCCACAGCACTTCATTCTCACTCCTCTAGTCTTCAGGCTCCTCTTGTCCAAAACTTAAAAGTTGGAGTTTGGGGTTTCTGTCCCGAGGCCCTTTGTTCCTTCTCTCTGGGAGATGTCACCCATTCCCCCCTTTCAGCCACTGTCACCCCTCTGTCTTCAACTCTCTGATCTGTATGTTCAGCCCAGACCGCCTACCTGCCCAAATGTGACTTCATCCTTTCCTTTTCGCTCCTCTGAACCTCCACTCCCTCTCTCCACCAAACCCTAGTCCCTCCTCTGGGAAATCTCTTCCAGTTCCATTCTCTTCTAACTCCGGCGCCACTTGGCTCCAGTACCTCGCAGACCTGAGGAATGTAGTTCTCCTTGAAGTAGTTCCTCAGCCTGGGGCTGGCAAGGCGCAGCGAGGCCATGACCAGAGGCCCTGCTGAAACTCTGCGCTTCCAGCCTGCTCTTCACGCCCCGCGCGGCAGGAGCCACGCCTGGCTAGGGGCTAGCGCGTCTCGCCGTTGCCCCGGCAACCACGCTGCGTGGAGGGGAGGGGCTAGGCGCTGCGTTGCCCCGGGCGCCCACCCTGGTGCCGAGGACTGCCGGAAGCGATGTGAACCTCTGGCCGGCCCGGGGGCGGCCCCTGGTGTGTGCTCTTGGGGCGTTCAGTCCTTGCAGCTCTTCACCAAGACTCGCACTCCTTCACCCGCGCCCCGCCCAGACTCTAGGAAGCCGCCGGGACGCGTTCGGGCCGACAGGGCGGTTTCCGAGAGGCGGAGCTCAGTCGCCCATTTCCTTTCTCCGTCGGCTAGAACCCGGACGGCGACAGCACCCTCTGGCTTCGGACTATCCTGCGCCAGGCCCAGCGCTGCGCGTGGCCCCAGCGGCAGCATGGGCGGCGCCCGGGATGTGGGCTGGCTGGCGGCGGGCCTGGTCCTAGCGGCCGGCGCCTGCTACTGCTTCTACAGGCTGACGCGGGGCCGACGGCGAGGCGTCCCCGGGCTACGGCTGCGCCCCTCGCGGTCTGCAGGTGAGGCCACGGGGTGCATGGCAGGTGGGCGGGGACTGGGACTGTGGCTTTCCCAGAGTGGGGGTTGAAGACGCCACAGGTGCTTGTGGCTTTCCAGTGCTGGGAGTAACTAAGGAGCCCAGCCAGGGAGGGAGGCTGATGAGAAGGGCAAAGTCGGGAAGCCCAGGTGCAAAAGACGGGTCTTCCACTTGATTGGGTGAGTGTAGGGTTCAGAGCTGGTTCCCTGCCTCCATTTGTTTGTTCAAAATTCCGGGATGAAAAATTGCCCAGACTTTCTTGTCTGAGTCTGGCGTCACAGCGGAGGACTCTTTCTCAAAAGCGTGTTGATTGCCTCTCAACGTTAAAGCTTGCTCCCGGCCTTTGTGTTACCAGGGGGATTCTGGGGCGATTAGATGAAATTCTGCGTGCAGTTAGCCTGGAAGAAGGGACGCCAGAGGGGCAGTTCTGAGGGGAGGTACTTTGAAGTCTCCGTGGTCTATATATATATATATATATATATATATATATATATATATATATATATATATATATATATATATATATATATATATATATATATATATATATATATGCAAAGTATGCGAGAGATCCTGGAGATACAGATATAGCTATGTATATCAAATTAGAACAGTTGTCTGCATGGAGGACACCCTCCTGGCGGACAAGTGCATGGTTAGGTTTCGGTCCAAAAACTGATTGCTGCATTCAGGGTTCTAACAACTTGTTGAATGTTCTGGGGGGTATTTCAGGTCATGGAAGCTGTTACAGAAATAATTAAAAATAAATCTCCTGCCAACCAAGAAATTCCTCTCTACAAATGTAGGAAAGAACTAAATAGCTTTATTAGAGAATAGCATTAAACCAGATTGCTACGCCCATCACGGCAATCTGCTAATGGGATTGCAAAGACAGAATTCTCACCCCTTTATGTTTCCAGCCAGATATAACCTATAACCTATTTCATATTAAGTACATGCCCTCAAGATAAACAGTAATTTGTCCTTAAGAGGACTTGACAGAACCATTTGCTACACATAGTTCATTCTAAATTCACAGGTAGTTGGGGTGGTATTTGTCTTAGCTAATAGCCGTTTATGTAGAAGAAAAATAAGACTTCTCAGTATCTATGATAACCGCGTAGTTACAACACAGAGCCAAGAACCGAGCTCTGACTCACACAGAGACAAGGAGATGGGGACTCCATCTTCCTTGATGTTTACACTTCAGATGACACCAAAGCCGCTAAGAAAGATTTTCTTGGGTTTTAAACCGGCAAGAGGCTTACTTAGCTTTTAAAAAGATGTATATTTATATCAAAGGGACAGACAAAGGACTTACAATTACTAGTTTGCTCAAGGAAATGTTCTCAGAAAAGGGAGTGGGTGAAAGGTTTCTTTCCCTTTTGGCACAAGGGGAAAAAAATTCATTTTAAAAAAGATTTGGACTTACCCTTACTTCCAAAGCCTAATTTGTTGTCTTTGTGTCAGAGATACTTCTGTATAAGTAGTCAGGTGACCCGAACTCAGACACCACCTCACTTGTACTTACTCAACTTGATGAACACTGACAAAGTCTTACTACCCCCGCAAAATCACCAGTACCTTGGCCAGGCAGCTTACAAAATACGTTGCTCACAGCCCCTTCCTGAAGCTACACTTTTTTCTTTGAAGAAGACTCGAGAAATACCCATTTTGTCAGCATCACCCTTATGTTTTGGAGGGTGATCTTTTTTTTTTTTTTTTTTTTTTTTTTGGT